GTCATTTGGAAAAACTCTCTGGGCCTACTCGTCTTGAGCATTTTTACTACCTAGAAAAATGTTAAAAGCTGAATTACATTTGCAGAATTACATTAGAATAGAAAACACTGTAATGCGTATTTAAAATAAACCTTGCAAGTTTGCAGGTCGACCCTCTTTGGCCCAAGGTCTAGCAGATCTAGACGATCTAGAAGTATCTATAGCCGATCGCTGCATCTAGGTGTTCTCTTCAATCTAACGACGATCAAACTGACAGCCCAATGAGCCAGGGTGAGGCTTGATTGACGCAAGAAGATTTTTCTAGGTGGGAATGTGGTCAATCTGGTGTTCCTCTTTCTAAACCGAAGGGGGGCCCCAATTGAAAGCCAAATTTACTGTTACGGCGGTCACCGTCTCAAATTTTCTGCCCTTAAAGAATAAGGTGAAGCTACGTGTAGATGGCTCGAGGGGATCTGGCCTCTTATGCTGATCACCTCAAGGTCTAGGAGGATCTTAAGTGTCGGATTTGCAAGGCGCCTCAGCATGAAATCTTAAGGCTCGTGACATTCTGAATCAAGGCGACTGACTCAAACGAAGAAACCTGAAAGGTTTTGACCAGGTTGATTATTAAAATATTAACATTTTATATGTATTAGCAAAAAATAAAACCGTGATATACACCTGTTGACTTACAACATTAAAGAGTTAAAACTGGTGTAACATTGTGTTCTTTGCTAACAAGAACTACACAAAAGCGAAACTGGCGAAGCAACGCGGCCGCCCCGGCCCCGCACGTACCTGCTCCTCCTGCGGCGGCTGTAGCGGTGACAGTCATAGGCATAGTGGCCTTTCTCACCACACTCGTAGCATCTGTCGTTGGGGTCAAAGGGGCGCCGGGCAGGGGGCCTGTCGTAACGGGAGCGCCGCGGCATTCCCGTGGACACTTCCACTCTCACCCTCGAGCCACATATTATCCTGCAAGACATAGTGTGTGTTACCCACAGGAACACCTGTGCTCGTACAACGAGCACGAGAAATCAACGGTTGGTGGGGCGGTAGGGGGACCACAGACTGCAGCCATGGCAGTCCAAGCGCTTCTAGGCATGTACGTACTTCCCATCGAGGCCGAGCACGGCATCTTCAGCGTCCCGGGGGTCCTCGAACTCCACAAAGGCGAACCCCGGCGGGTTCCTCGCGATCCACACGGTTCTCAGCGGGCCGTAGTAGCTGAAGGCTCTCTCCAGCTCGCCTTTGCCCGCGCCCGTGCCCAGGTTGCCCACGTACACCTTGGTCTCTGTGGGCGGACGGAGAGAGGAACGGGCGCCATGTCAGGGCCGCGCCAGGCACGCGGCCGCCCCTCCCCCCGCCGCCATTTTTGACTGCGCGTCCATCTTAGAGCGCTCCCGCTGCCCCACCCCCCCCGCCCTGACAGACCCCACAGGGCCCGCGGGTGCCCCCGCGTCCCCCTCCTCGCCGCCTCTCTCAGGGGCAGCCTGAGGCGACGAAGGCTTTATTCCACTCTTAGCGCGGCGCGAGCGCCGCCGCTCCACCCCCCGCTCTTGCACCCCCCAGCAACAGTAGCAGCCCCCATACGATTTCGAACACCCGCTCCCTCTCCCTTGACCATCCCTGCCGCCCCTACCGTAACGCCCGTATCGCGACATCGTCCCGACTTCCCGACCACAGCCCCGGCTCGAACGGGCGCGACCTTTTGTACAGGGGAGCGGCCGCTGCGCCTGCGCATCGCCCCGGGGGGAGGGGCGGGGCGGTGCAGGCACGCGCCTCCTCACGCGCGGGTCTCGCGAGAGCGGAGAGGTTTGGGCGCGCGCACGCGCGTTGAATCCCGCAGGGAGGCGCCTTTCCCGCCCCCAGGCGGGAGTGGCTGTGGGGGGGGTGCGGTCACTCCCCTCAGCCACGGCCCCCGCCGGCCGCTCCTCGTGGCCGCGGGCTGCTCGACCCCCACCAAGGCCCAGTGAGCGCTCCCGCCTTGGCGGTGCCGAGAGGGAGCAGAGGGACCGGAGCCTCTTTCCCACCTCGCACGCCTCATGCGTCACTTATGTGGGCTTCTGGCCCTGCTGAGGCTGGGGGCAAAGGTGCTGAGACCACCGTCTTTATTCCTCGGCGCAGAGCCAGGGGCATTTTCTTCCTCGCAACAAGGCATTCCCAAATAACGTGGCATTCCCACACTGTTCCAAACCTGTTGTGCGGAGTTCGACCCGACACTGGCTCACACATCAGATCCATCCCAAGCACACTTCGGGTGCTGCAGAGTTCAGGCTTATCCCCTCAGGCAGCTTTCGGGTGTCAGCTGTTCAGGGACACACACGCAAGAGACGCAAGAGTGCACGCGTAGCAGACATTTCTAAAGAGAAATGGACACCTGACAGATTCAAAGTAATTTTAGATAAATCCCAGCAGGAATGAGGAGAGCCTTTTATTAATGAGAGTCAGACAGACTTTTCAGCTGCATGTGAGCACAGCAATGTGTTTTGGTGCTGGCTTCTAATAAGGCAAAACAAATACACTGTGAGATAAATGAGGGCTCTAAAGGCTCCTCACTGGATTAATAATCTCAGGAGGAATCACACAATGATTCCTGCATTGTGTGTTGTCATAAACTAGAAAAAAAGCATTAAGAAACGAACTTACTGAATTGCAGGAAATTCTTGTTTTACAGAACACTGGTTTTCCAATCACTGCTGCTGTAGAATAACAAATACAGATAGGGAATGCTTTTAAATGGTTTTAAAACTTGCACTTTGCCTGCTAACCTTCCCTAATAATTTTACAAATTTGGACAACATTATAATTCATGTTCTAACAACAAGAACAGTTGTGAGGAAAACAAACAACAACTAAACAACTACAACAACGAAACAAAACAGCTTTCTGAACTAACTTTTTAAAATCTGGTTTGGAAATCTGAGTGTCACAATTCTCTTTCTAAAAAAAAAAGAAGAAAAAATAATCTGGTAAGAAGTTCAAATAAACATACCTACACCACTAGATAATAAATCAAATTTAAAGGCAGAGGAAAACACAGTTAAATTTATTGTATATCACCTTTCACAATACTGTTACAAAAATACTAAATTGATATATTAAGTGATAAATCAGCTTAATACAGCATCATTATCTAACGGTTCGCTTTTAATAAAAAATAGTGCATGAAAAATGCTTGTGCTTTTGGTTTACACTGCTTGTTTTATCCCTTTGTTTACATACCAAAAAAATCAGACAAAAGTATCTAAAACCAGCACTTTTGCAAACAGTGAGTACTGACACCCAGCACAGTTCCTAAAACACGGCAGGTAGACCCATTCCTAAAGACAAATCCTGCTTTAAACAGCAGACATCACTGTTGTTTCTCCAGATAACCCTGTACCAAACCTTGAACCCGGGACAGGATGATCTCATTGGAGCTGCTGCACTGCTCGGGGCCATACGGGGGGTCAACTGTTAACACCCCCGCCACACACAGTGTCCTGCCCGACTCCCCTTGCTCCGCCACGGGAATGTGGTTTGTTTCCAGCCAAGTCTTCAAATCATTCTTCCTCTTCTCCAGTTCCTCTAGGCTGTAGGCTTTGCTTTCCTTAGACGTGAATAAGCGAGAAAGGCGTTGCTTCATTTCACTGTCCCCTTCTTTCAGTATTTCGACCTCTTGGACAGCATGGCCCATGACAACTGAAATGGACACCTTTTCACTCTCCGGGAATGCTGCAAGGACAATGCTGTCAAGGAAAGAAGGATGTATAAGTCCCTGTTCTTAACTTAAGACTAAGAAACATAGGCAAAGATTCTTGGAAATTATGCTCATTGGCATCAGCCTAACCCAGGTATTTAGGCAACAGGCAGTACTCAGCACTTTTCTTTGAAAAGAATGCTGCTGTACCCTTAAAATATTAAAATGTCGGCTTTGCAGGCAATTGGTGGTCTTGAATTTGAAACTAGTCTAGACACTATCAAGCAGAATAATAAAGAAGCAAAGTATACATTAAAATCAGGGCTTGGAATCTAAATAATTTTGTGCAGCTTTCCCAACCTTGCTGAAGAACCTGAAGTCTTCAAAAACAATGATACCTTCAATACATTCAGCATTTTGAATACTGAAGGCAATGGCGACAGCTAACACCACTAGAACCTTTTAATGAAAACTTATTAATATTTATGGATCATTACAGAATATTTTTTTTTATAACTGTTGCTAGTTTCTTAAATAAGAATAGCTTGAGTGTTATAAGAGGACGCGTTACAGCAGGTTCAGGCTCATGCTGTAGAAGCTTCATCTTTTCCCAAGGGCACTTGCATTCCGGAAGTCCTAAAACGCAGGTAGGAAGGCAACTTGTTGATTTCTAGGATCAATTCCTCATATATCAAACAACTGTCTTCCTCTTTTGGGAACCAAAATTCCAGAATTTGATGATTCCAGCACTTCACTAATCTACTGTTATCACCTTTTGTGGAAGTAATTACTTCTGGGCTGTGTACAGTGAAATATATGCCTTGATTTCAGCCTGGACCATCGCCAGAATCACTCATTGCTGCATGTACCTTTCCTACCAAAATGATAACAAATTCCAAGAGAAGACTATCAGAGCTACTCCAGAGTTGAAGCAACAACCAGTTCTTCTGATATACATCAGAAGCTGAATGTTTTCACTTCTAGCCTTCATCTTATGCTCATCTGGGACAAGCTCAAAACTAAAAAGGTATGAAAGAGCTCTGGCAGCAAAGAGATTGCCTATCCCTGGTGCCTTCTGCCTTTCAAACCCTATTTCTGAGATACCAGAGACCTGTGGTACCACTTTCTGTCCAATGCCCTGTTGATTTTCCTTGCTTCCTCTCCAAAGAAGCCACTACACCAAAGAAGCCACTCTACCTCCATGGGTGTCTGACTAGAGGGGAAAACAGGGCACTGATATGAGAACTCTGGACAGAGGATAAGGATTTCAACACCTAAAGCATTAAAAACATTCCTGCATTCCTGCTCTCTTTGTAAAGCAGGGCTTGGTATATTATTAAAAGCAGTCCTAAAGATGTGGATTGTTAAGAGGTTATAGTTGTTTAGTTTCGTAGGTAAGCTTTAAATAAGAGTAAGTCAGAGTTATAATACTGTGTGATTTAGTATGCTGTTCCCTTAGCTTTACTTGCTTAACATAAGCAGCTGGATTTGCTGAAGCCTTAGGCTGCAAGCTGTGAACTTTCAATTTGCAGATATGCATTTGGCTGCTGTAGAGTTAATTTCTTTAGCAATTTTCCTAGAAGCCAGTACAGTGCTGAGTTTTGAATTTAGCATGAGAATAATGTCGATAGCACGCTGATGTTTTGGTTGTTGCTAAGCAGAGCTTACTCTGAATCATGGACTTTTTAGTTTTCCGTGCTCAGCCAGTGAGGAGGTGCACAGGAAGTACAAACCAGACAATAAGGAGGCTGCAGCCATCAGCAGAAGCTGCAACTCGACAGGAATAGTTAATGGCCTGTCTGCAGGGACACAGAGAAAGAATCCAATCTGGAGCCTGAAGACCCCAGACCAGAAATCACCACTGGACCAAGAAGGACATGCAGAGTGCATGAGGAGCAGGTGAGCAATGGGCACACAGGCTGTAAGGGTATAAAAGCCCAAGGACTTCTTTGTTCTGGGTCCCTCTCCAGAGGCGCCTGGCTCATGCTGACCTCCTGCTGTACCACTGTATTAAATTATTTATTTTTATAAACTACAATGTTGCTTTCTCTTAGGCCTTGCCAGTTAAAAAAACCAAGACACACAGCCCCAATGTGCAGTTTTTGCTCCAAATGAGTTTACTTCAGTTTTGGGATCTTTTATTCTTCAAAAAAAACCCCTTGTTTTCTATTAGTTTTACAGAAGTAAAAGCTTTGGTACTCACCTGGCAGAAACTGGATCAACTGTTAAAACCCATCCTTCATATTCATGTTTCTCAATCGCAACAACTTTCACCAATTTGTTCACATACGTTTCCCAGTCTAGAGGGCTCTTCTTCTGCCAGTCATTCATATTTCCTACATCCAGAACCTAGAAAACAAACAGAGCAATTAGCAGACGCAGTGAGTGCCTTTTGCTTTGCTTTTCACATCAGAACTGAGTTTGCCTCCAGGACAAAGACTGGTCTTAGGTAAAATTTACCTTTTTTTAAAAGCAGATGTTCACACAAGTGTTTTGCATACAGATGAAGTTCTGTAATTTCACACACAGTTCACCTGCTTTTAAAGGCACACCAGCAAAGCCTCACACGATGCTTTCAACATTCTATTTATTGCTCTTACTCTCTTACAAAACCTTTGGGATCGCCGTCCCTTGAAGGTAAAATTTTACCGACTTTGCTTCGTGTGCTGGAACAGCACTTGTGTCCAAGCCCTTCTGCTACCTATGGATAAGCGTTATCCCCCTGGATCCCGGCTCTATCCTCATCTCTTACGGCAGAGCAGCAGCAAGTGCGTTCCACTGTTTCCCCCTTCACCAGCTGCACTGCCCAGAGCAAAGCTACCCCTCGTCCAGCATTGTATTCCATGACAGCGTCCCCCCGCCAAAGGGGCCGGAGGGAGATGTGGGCAGCGCAGTGCGGGGAGGACTAAGGGCTGGAAGGAGCTCTGTTCCCCGCAGGCTCCCTGGCGATGCCAAGGGGAGCGCTTGCAGCATCCCAGCTTCACGGGGGTATGAGGCAGGAGCGCTCTGAGCCTCCCCTCCTCCCAACCCGCTCACCTACCCCGTTCCCGTCCCACTCCCCGCCGAGGCCTCCTAGGAACTGCGCCTGGGCGGCACCCGCGTCCTGCCGCTGCCGAGCGCCTCTCCCCGCCACGCTCCGGGGGTTTGGGAGCACGAAATGGGCCGACACGGAGGGTTTTTAACTACGGGTGTACATATAAATTGCATACAGGTTTACATGTACGAGGCCCGGCTGCAAAACGAGGAGGTGGAGCTGATAGTGCCGTGGGACTGCCAGCTTCAGCAAGCAAAAACCTCAAGCCTTTTCAAGCAATCCCTGGGCGTAAACAAGGATGGATGCAGGCTGTGTGCCTCTCCTACATAAAAATAGGAAATTTTTGCTCCCCAGTTTTGAGTTGCCTTTACAAACTTTTCTGTGCCGCGGTGAAGGTTAGAAGCTTGATTCCAATACCCACCCCCACCCACCGCGGCTGCTCTATTACAACAGCACTAAGGAAAAGCTGCTACGGATGAACAAAACAAGCTGCCGGTCACGTCAGTAATTTGTGAAAGCGAGCATGCAATGGTTTTGTGAGCATTACAGAAAAAATACTATGAAATGAGATATTTTGCAGACTTGAGGTAATTTTTTTTTAAGTCTCAATTCAACTTCTGCAGTACTACAGGGACTATTTATGAATGGCTTGTGTCACTGTATTCAGCTACTGCTCTCTTTCAGTTATAGTTTATTGAAAAGCAGGCATAGCAAATCTGTTTTCATTCTAAGACCAAGCAACACAATGGGAAAGCAGCTCCCCTTTAAAACAGAAACAGTGGGAAGAAGAAACATAATTTGTTTTTATCTATATATATGCATTTTAGTTTTTTAACTGGTTCCCTTCCGGATCAGAGACTGGAGACTATTTTGTTCAAAATACCTTTTGAGCAAAATACTCCAGAAGTCTTCAGGTTTAATCCCTACCGATCATTTTTCTCCACTATTGTCAGTGTAGTTACCAGAGCTCTCCCATCCGGAATTTAGCAGTTGCCAGAGATGACAATCATAGTCACAGAAAGGTGAGGCTGTCCCAACTCAAGTGACTCTGCCACTGGAAGCTCCTGGCTCTGACCGAGCCATAAACACTCGATTTGCGGGACAAAGCCCGCTTTTCCTGTGGGAACAGCTCTGCAGGGATTGCTGCGCTGCGCTCCCAAGCTGCCCTGCCCGTTCGGAGAGGTTAGCAGAGCAGCAGCTTGGACCGCTTAGCCCGGCTCCGCGGCAGCCCGGAGGCAACCCGTGATTCCCGGGTGCCACTGGCTCCTGATTTGGATACCGCCTCCAATACTGAATATATCCAAGGACTGCTCCCACCCTAGAGATGCCAGGACCGAAAGGTCTGCTAGCCTTACTTCTCCTGGGCAGATGATCATGTGCAGCACCACCAGGAGGCTCCGTTGCTTCCTTTCTCGAGGAAAGGTGCAATTCCCCTGCAGGGCTCCAATTCCCACGCGAGAGCTTCGCCCCCCACGCCCCGCCCCTCGCGCATGCGCGCCGCCGCCGGGCGGGGGCGGGAGCACGGGGTAGGAGGCAGGCGCATGCGGTAGCGCGTGCGCGCGGGCGGCGGAGCCGTCGGGATGTCGCGTTACGGCCGCTATGGAGGCGGTGAGAGCGCCCGGGGCGCCGCGAGTGGCCGGGATATCCGCGGGGGGCAGGAAGAGGAGGGTCTGAGGAAGGGGCGATTACCGCGGGGAGCGGAGCGGCCGGCGGGCGCTGGCGGGGAAGGGAGGAAGGAGAGGCGGCCGCTGCTGCCGTTGTCGCCGCCGCCATTTTGCGTCAGCGGCCGTGGGGGGAGGGGGCGCGGCCGCGCGCGCCGCGCTCGCGGCGAAGGCGGGAACGGGTCGCGCGGACAAGATGGCGGCGGGGGGGCTGGGCCTGAGCCCGGTCCCGGCGCTGACATCGCTTCGCTCCCGCAGAGACCAAGGTGTACGTGGGCAACCTGGGCACGGGCGCGGGCAAAGGCGAGCTGGAGAGAGCCTTCAGCTACTACGGCCCGCTGAGAACCGTGTGGATCGCGAGGAACCCGCCGGGGTTCGCCTTTGTGGAGTTCGAGGACCCCCGGGACGCTGAAGATGCCGTGCGTGGACTTGACGGGAAGTACGTGTGCATTTCGGACGCTTGCCGGTTTTAAGACCAGAGAGAGGTTCTCTGGTTCTTTTGCTTTTGTAGTCGTGTGGTAAACTATAGCGTTTAACTTAAAACCATCGCGGACTTTGTTGCAGGGTGATATGTGGCTCGAGGGTGAGAGTGGAAGTGTCCACGGGAATGCCGCGGCGCTCCCGTTACGACAGGCCCCCTGCCCGGCGCCCCTTTGACCCCAATGACAGATGCTACGAGTGTGGTGAGAAAGGCCACTATGCCTATGACTGTCACCGCTACAGCCGCCGCAGGAGGAGCAGGTACGTGCGGGGCCGGGGCGGCCGCGTTGCTTCGCCAGTTTCGCTTTTGTGTAGTTCTTGTTAGCAAAGAACACAATGTTACACCAGTTTTCTTTAAACTTTAACGCTAGAATAAATGTATAGGTGTATATTACAATTTGTTGCTATTTCTATCAAATGTTAATATTTTAATAATCAACCTGGTCAAAACCTTTCAGGTTTCTTCGTTTGAGTCAGTCGCCTTGATTCAGAATGTCACGAGCCTTAAGATTTCATGCTGAGGCGCCTTGCAAATCCGACACTTAAGATCCTCCTAGACCTTGAGGTGATCAGCATAAGAGGCCAGATCCCCTCGAGCCATCTACACGTAGCTTCACCTTATTCTTTAAGGGCAGAAAATTTGAGACGGTGACCGCCGTAACAGTAAATTTGGCTTTCAATTGGGGCCCCCCTTCGGTTTAGAAAGAGGAACACCAGATTGACCACATTCCCACCTAGAAAAATCTTCTTGCGTCAATCAAGCCTCACCCTGGCTCATTGGGCTGTCAGTTTGATCGTCGTTAGATTGAAGAGAACACCTAGATGCAGCGATCGGCTATAGATACTTCTAGATCGTCTAGATCTGCTAGACCTTGGGCCAAAGAGGGTCGACCTGCAAACTTGCAAGGTTTATTTTAAATACGCATTACAGTGTTTTCTATTCTAATGTAATTCTGCAAATGTAATTCAGCTTTTAACATTTTTCTAGGTAGTAAAAATGCTCAAGACGAGTAGGCCCAGAGAGTTTTTCCAAATGAC